GTTAATTACTGCAGTCGAGCATGTAATCTGAAAGGTGTGTGTGCCTATGTGTGATATAAATTATATAGCTTCTTGAAGTGTGGAACAATTTAGGTTCACCTGGAGCAAGGTAAGTTTATGCCGAGCTGTTGCGTCGGTCCACAAAATTGTTCAAAATGGCATTTATGGATTATTCAAAACATTTTCATTTATCTGGAACATAATCTTCTCAAAAATGTTTCTTCCATCTAAACCAAGCTTTTCAACACCTTACCTTACCATAACTCATTCTTATATTTGGCCACCCTTGCAGGTGGGGGTCGGGAAAAGAATACACCTGCTGTTATCCACTGCATGTATCGTAGGAGGCGACTAATGCGGGAAACCCCTGCAGAATTGGGGATTGCTTTGATGTCCTCTATTTGGGGACAACAAAACGACCAAAATAAATCTGCTGCACCTATTGCAATATTTTGGATATTTATCTTTCTTTCTATTTCTAACTACCTTTTATTACCTAGCGCCTTGCTTGGCAACACCTCATTTTTGGCTTTAATGATGAGAGTCGCCCAGCAATCTCCACGCAGAGTTACGGTCCTTGCACTCCCTTTGTGTGTGTGATTGAAAAGGAACGACAATTCTGGGTAGAGATTGTTCGCCCAGGTGAGGAAGGCAATGGGTTCTGTCCCCAGACCTGGACATACCAAAGTCTTTAAGAATCGTAGTTGTTATTCCCTGCTAAACATTCAGTATTTAGGGGAATGGCAACAACTGGTTCATCCATTGTCAGTATAATGTGACCGGGCAGAATGCTGTGCGCCTTCGGCATGGTATTTCAGTGAGATAGCACTATAAAGTCGGCATCATATCCGCGCTATCACAAGGAGGCAAACACACCAAAATACCCTTTCTCCTGCATAGACACACACAAGCACGCATACACTACAAACATGATGGCACGTCCTTAAATGACCTTTGATGTTAATAGGACGACGTTAAACAAAATTAAACCAAACCAATCTTATGAGAATGAGAATAAATATTTTCTGAGCGAAACCACGATAGAACGAGAATTAAGGTTACAAAAAGGGTTTTTCCAAGCGACAAGCCGGAAGAATGAGAATTAAGGTTTTTATTTCTTGTATTTTCTGAGTGAAAATTAAGAGGTTTCTACCAAGAAAAAAACGAAAATGAAAGGTCACTTATTAGGTTGCTAGTCACTTTGTCAGGACCATGGGTCGTTCTTTCTAAAAGGTTTTGGTTAAATCGGCCCATTAGAACTTGACTTTAAGTTTGAAATAGTTTTTTGTATCAAAATGGCGGCATTGGCGGCTATATTGGATTTCTGATCGACCAGAAAAAATAGCAACACTGGGTAAGGGATATGTCAGTAACATTTCCAGGAACAATAAATGAAATCCCTTCAACAGTATTTCAGCTTACATGTAAGTTGAAAATGTAAAATTTTAAGCTCAGGAGACCTAAAAGCCTATTCATTCAAGTATTTCTGCTTCACATTAAGATATATCGACGATGCATATTCTTTAAATAACAAGAAATTAATTTGATCACCACGACCGTATATACCCTCCTTGGCTCAAAATAAGGGACACACCTGTCTCTCACTCTCCAGCCACTTTCCTCGATCTCTACTTATCTGACCAACAGGGACACCTAAACTGGAAAGATTCGACTTTCCGATATTTAACTTTCTCTTTCTTGAGAGTAACATCTCCGGACCGTCTCCCCAATAAACAGTGTTTACATGCCAAAGATGATTCCCTATTAACCCTTTCACCACTGTAGACCATAACGGACTTATCTAGATCAATGCATGCTAGAGTCTACTAAAGTTACATAGGGGTGAAAGGGTTAAAGAGCTTACTCCGAACATCATGACTTCCTTTTAGATAAATGATGATCACTGACAGACAAAATTTCCACACAGGGTTTCACAAAATACAGGTTAAGGAAGACTATGGACATATTTTAGGGTCGCCACTAGGATCTAATAGAAAATATATCTCTTTGTGATCTGAAGGTCGATGTTTGTGATGGTTAGTATATGCCTTGTGGTTTGTTGTCACTATATATATTCAAATCATCAGTATGAGGACGTGATTTTACTTGGGTTTGACCTTGATTTTAATGGCAAGCGGAAGACACTTGGCCTTCTGGAACATTAACCTTGTACATCTTATTATCCTTGTACATTTTAAAGGTCTCGAAGCGATTGATTGAAAAAATAGATAGTCTAACTGGTAGTCTTCCTGGTAGTCTTCTTGGACTTTAAAAGTTAATATTTGTTATATCTATTTCGCAGAAAGTACAGAAGGGAACTTTCTCAATTCATTTTTTTTGTCAGAATTTCTGTGCGAATTAGTTTTCCTGCTTGAAAGGGCTCCGCACCCCGTCTCTCAGCATTCAGGCAGACATTTCCAGGTCACTAGTATCAGTAGTACAGACTCTTTGTGGGACTCAACAATAATAAGTTGTCGGATATTATTCATTTTATCTTTAAATTAAGATATGCATAAATGATATAATTTCACCATTTCATACCAAATTCTGATAAGGAAGTTTGGTACTTGTTCTTCTGTAACATGTGGAAGGTATCATAATGGAATTTTTCACCTTTTCAAGTAAATCAAAATAGTAAAAATCTTTGTGGAAAGAATTTTCCTTTTACTTAAAAGTGTGTACACCAATGTTGTCCTGTTTGAATCAATAAAGCTTCTATTTTTATTTGCATATTGTGTATATTTATCTTGTTACTCATCAAATATACAGAAGAAGGTTCTGAAATGTATATCACCTCAGTATGCAAGATTGCAAATAGCGTTTCCTGTTAGTAACTACTGTTAAAAGTATATATATGTAATTGTAATCTATTTGTTTGTTTTTAGAATTATGCATATTTCTTGCACCTACCATGTGATACCCCTGCTAGATTTTTCTATCTTGTTCAATCTGTCTGGCACCTTTACGCGCCATTTTGCAAAATTTTCAGGAAGATATGTATTCATCCACACACTAACGCAGGTGATACACTCATACAATTTTATTCTTTTTTTTGGCCTTTGAATGTATTGTTTGGAGGTTCTTAAGTTCTTAATGTTGTAGATAAAACATAATCTACACTGTGAAACATGTTTTCTTCTTTGTAAGGACGGACAACATTATGTTCGCATAGGCATTCAAACCTAGTTTTAGAGGTGAATAGGCCATATCTTTTTGTTACTGCTTGACTATAGTGAATTAAATAGTTTTTAAACTGAAAGGTGTGAGAAACAAGAGGCCCATAGGCCTTAATGGTTACCTGAGTTATGTAAAAACTGATGTTATCGATGTTGCCAAATGAAAAAGAAATCATTTTGTAACAAAGGTAACTTGAACATGTAATGCAAAAGTAGTGTGAAAGATCTGGGTAGTATATGTACTATGTACAAATAGTGGTTCTGTCAATCAGCCATTCAGTGGTAGAGCGTTGGCCTCCAGAACCTGGGGTCGTGGGTTCGATCCCAGCTGGGGCTACTCATCTTTCTACTTCTTTTTTTCCTATTACAGTAGAACGAGCTGTTGGATTTTTTTGTTTTTGTTTATTTGAGTAACGTTACTGGCTAAAAATAAATCTAATATATTGATTCAACAATGAAGAGTTTTTGTGTGTTGTAATTTGCCATTTGGAAGCTTGGCATCTTTTTATACTGCACATAAACTTCATACAACTAAATGGTAAAAAACAACAAAATTGTGAGTCGACTACATCATCTAAATTTAACCCCAGTTGATATGCGAAAGATATTTGTTTTGAGCTTTTTTTTGATAAAAGGGTGCATATATTGTTAATAATGTCAAAATTAACATGATAAATGACAAACATACAAAGTGTTGTTTAAGAGAACAATCAAGCCTTTGGCAAAGCTACTCATAATGTAACACTATGGATGTGTACGCCATTATTTTTAATCTTTTCCAGTTTATTCTTCTTGAAATAATTTTGCTTCTGTCCATGTGGTCTGGAAAAGATTGTTGAAATTTAAGCCAATTCAATTTCTTTGGGCCCTGCCCCTCAGCCCCTGGGGGTGGGCCAGGGTCAAAATCTTCAAAGTATCAAACTGTCATCTCATGGTTATAATTTCAATCAAGTTTATAATATTTCCAATTGAAAATGAACAAAATATACCCAAAAGTACAAACTGTAGTAAACTTAACCCCCTGCAAAGGGACAAACGTGGAATCTGGGGGTCATGGAATTCAATTTTATGATAAAACACCTAAAGACCCCTCCATCTATGAAGATTATTTGTTTCCAGCATATCTGAGTCTGGAGAAGATTTCCAAGATCGCCAAAGCCCAAACTGTCATAGTATCAAACTGTCATTTCGAAGTTATAATGACTATCAAGTTTCAATGATTTTCAATTGGAAATGAACCAAATATACCCAAAAGTATCATTGTTTCAAGCATATTTTGGTCTGGATAAGATTTTTTAATTTAAGTCAATTTGACCCCTTTGAGCCACGCCCCTCAACCATTGGGGGCGGGCCCGGCCAAAACTGTCAAAGTATCAAACCGTCGTTTCATAGTTACAATGTCTGTCAAGTTTGAATAATTTCCAATTGAAAATGAATCAAACATACCCAAAAGTATCATTTTCCTATATAAACTATAGTAAACTTCGCCCCCTCCTCAGGGTCAAACATGGAGTCTGGGGGTCATGAAATTCACAATTTTGATAAAGCACCGCAAGACCCTTCCATCTATGACGAGTATTGGTTTCAGCCTATCTCAGTCTGGAGAAGATGACTGTTGAAATTTCTGGCTATATGACCCCATTTGGTTTCGCCCCTCATCCCCTGGGGATGAGACAGGGTTAAAAATGTCAAAGTATCAAACTGTCATCCCTAAAAACATTCAGTTACCTGTAACTGAGCAGGGTCAGGTTATCTCAGTCGCTGACTTAGATTCTGTAACAACCAAACCTCGGTTTTATGTCTCGGTTGGGATGTTAGCCCTCAACTATCAAACAATCTTGCTCAGATACAGGTAATAAATTTTGTTATTCTAATATAATCAGTTCACAAAATTATACCCAGAAATGCATTAAGCCAGTTACTAAAGTGATCTTAGGTAACATTTTGACCAGAAATAAATAAATGGTTGGTTGTGGGGTATTTTTATCTTGCTTAGTTATTTTCCTTTTGTCGTTTTTTTTTGAACCAGGAATTGTCAAATGGCCGAGCTCATATGAAAAAAAGTCAAACAAGATCAACCTTTGTGAAAATAATTAATTTCTGCTGAAGAAAAGACATGGTTGAGAGGAGAATAACGCTTCTAGATATTGCTGGAAAAACTTGCAAAGGAAAATAACTCATAGTCATCTGTTCTGCCTTAAAAATAAGCCAAAGCAAAATTATTGAATGGAAATGGTGACTGTATCATTTCACTTTTAAGTTGAAAAATACATGTCTTCAATATTTATTGATGAAAATGGTACCAACTCCCTTCAATTTTATTTTTGACATGTCCTATAAAGCACATTTTATATAGTATTGTCTGATGACAGCCGTATCTATCAGCCACATACAGGTTTCGTTAGCTGAGTCATGGTCTTGGTGGCACATTTTCCTTAGAGGTCCTGAAGTTGTATGTGCCTAGGAGCTGGGGGGAGTCAAGGTCGCCGTGTGATGAGAGCGTGCCATAAGTGGTTTTTGGCTTATGAGAGCTGCGTTCTGCCTTCAGCTGGTCAAGTCTCGTAGTGAGCATGTCTGGTGTAGGAGGGGTTTCGCTAGGCAGGTTCTGGCCAAGCCTCTCTGCCAGTGATTCAAACTTTGGCACTGGGGCATGGGAGAGTCCCCGGAAGGACTAAGAAGACAATTCAAAAACGTATAGTAGTGGAATGAAAAGTAGTGCACATAGTTAATATAAAATTTCAGTTTCTGTTCTTTTTTCTGATAACAGCAGATGAGGAGGAAACCGCAAGTGGTTAACTACAACTCATCTTAATTTTTAAAATGTTAAACATTCTTTGAAAACAAGAGGCCCAGAGGGCCTTTATTGCTCACCTGGATAATAAAGCAACCATGGGAAATTATTCTTATTACATTAAATACCTACAATGGTTCAAAACAAGAAGGATTTTAAAGATTTAAACCTCAAATTCCCCTATTGGGCCCCGCAACTGTGCACCCAAAGGGGCCACACCCTCCGTTTATACAATATGTATTCCCCTTCGCCCAAGGATGCTCCAGGCCAAAGTTGGATGAAATCCCTCAAATGGTACAAAGGTAGAAGGATTTTGAAGACTTAAACCTCAAATTCCCCTATAGGGCCCTGCAACTCTGCACCTATAGAGGCTACACCCTTTATTTATACAAATTAATTTCCGTTTACCAAAGGATACTCCAGGTCAAATGTGGATAAAATGTCTCCAATAGTACAGGAGGAGATGGATTTTAATGATTTTAACCTCAAATTCTTCTTTTCAGCCCTGCTGCTCTGCATCCAGAGGGGTCACAGTGCAGAGGGGCCACAACTAATGTTTTTTACAAAATAAAGATGCCTTTGACCAAAGATGGTCCAGACCAAATTTAGATAAAATCCCTCAATCTTTATGGTAGAAGAAGGATTTTAAAGGTTTACCTCTATTTCCCTTTTCAGCCCCACCCCTCTCCCTCAAAATACAAAATTGAGTCCCCTTGCAAGAAGGGTGCTCTAGAACTAATTGGGATAAAATCCCTTCATCTGTATGGTAGAAGGATTTCAAAGCTTTTACCTCTATTTCCCCTATTTGGCCCCGCCCTCTGCTCCCCAGGGGTCCAAACCCTCCGTTTATACAAAATTGAGAGTCCTTTGCCAAAAGATGTTCCTGACCAAATTTGGATAAAATTCCTCAATCTTTATGGTAGAAGAAGGATTTTTTTTAGGTTTTACCTCCATTTCCCCTATTTAGACTATACCCCCAGGGG